CTGGTACTGCGCCCCGCCGATCTCGTAGCCGACGCAGCCCGCCTTCTCCGCCCAGACCTCTCATCGCGCCGCGGGCCGCCGGGGGCGGCGGGCCGCGGGGGCGGCTTCGAGCATCGACGGTCGAGGACGGGTCCCCGCCCTCCTCCTCCTCCTCCTCCTCCTCCTTTTCCTCCTCCTCCTCCTCCTCCTCCTCCTCCTCCTCCTCCTCCTCCTCCTCCTCCTCCTCCTCCTCCTCCCCCTCCTCCTCCTCCTCCTCCTCCTCCTCCCCTCCTCCTCCTCCTTCTCTCCTCCTCCTCCTCCTCCTCCTCCTCCTCCTCCTCCTCCTCCTCCTCCTCCTCCTCCCTCCGCCTCCTCCTCCTCCTCCTCCCCTCCCCTCCTCCTCCTCCTCCTCCTCCTCTCCTCCTCCTCCTCCTCCTCCTCCTCCTCCTCCTCCTCCTCCTCCTCCTCCTCCTCCTCCTCCTCCTCCACTGCATCCCCCCTCCATCCTGCTCCCTCCCTCCGATCTACAAGGACACCATCGGAGTGCTTCCCGCCTCCCGAAAGACGCCGGTGAGGTGCCCTGGCCTCCTCCACATATTGCTGATTACACACAGGATGCCGCCGAATTCACAACTACCATATTGTTTGTTTTGCCCATCCGAGCGTTTCCGATCTGTTCAAAATGGCGTTCCCGCTATAGCGTTGGCTACATATTCCCCTTCTCAGTCCTTCCAACTCATGTTCTCCCTGTAACGCTGAACTCATTTCATTGTTTCGGCTCTTCCAACTTGTGTTCCTGCTGCAGCGTTGGCTTCGCTTCCGCGCGTCGAGTCCATCCAGATCGTGCTCCCACTGCAGCGCTGGTCTCTTTTCTGCGGTCTCGGTCCTTCGAAATCGTGCTCCCGCTGCAAGGCTGATCCCGTGTTGCGCTTCCCGCTGTCACCACCGACCATTTGAATGTCCTGTCCTGTGCCACTTCTGGTTTCCCTCTGGCCTTGTCGTCGAAATGACTCCTTGACGCGATGCCATGCTTTGACGTGTCATACCTGAACGGGCGAAGAACGGTATAACATAGATGTTTTCGCCGTCGGGGGCGCCTGTCCCTGGACGGCTGGAAAGTTTATACCCCTACGGTGCCACCGTAAGGGTATAAACTTTCCAGCCGCCCTGGGACAGGCGCCCCCGACAGCGAAAAAAAATATCTTATACCGCTCTTCGCCCGTTATATACCATGCATCGCGGACTCGTTCGACCTCCGACTGTGCGAACAGAGAGGAGATCTACGCAGTGGCAAGGGATGGGAGGGAGGGGCAGGACGGAAGACATGACGCTTGAGCACCCGGCCCGGTCTTCCTCCTCTCTCCCCTTCTCCTCCTCCCCCTCCTCCACCCCTCCTTCTCCCCCCTCCTCCTCCTCCTCCTCCTCCTCCTCCTCCTCCTCCTCCTCCTCCTCCTCCTCCTCCTCCTCCTCCTCCTCCTCCTCCTCCTCCCCCTCCCCCTCCCCCTCCTCCTCCTCCTCCTCCTCCTCCTCCTCCTCCTCCCTCCTCCTCCGCCTCGCCTCCGCCTCCGCCTCCGCCTCCACCTCCGCCTCCGCCTCCGCCTCCTCCGCCTCCTCCTCCTCCGCCTCCTCCTCCTCCTCCTCCTCTCCTCCTCCTCCTCCTCCTCCTCCTCCCTCCTCCTCCTCCTCCTCCTCCTCCTCCTCCCTCCTCCCCCTCCTCCTCCTCCTCCTCCTCCTCCTCCTCCTCCTCCTCCTCCTCCTCCTCCTCCTCCTCCTCCTCATGCTCCTCTTCCTCCGACGACGGCCGGAGGGGCTCGAGGGGGGGATGGGAGAGGCCTCGGGCATCGAGGCTCGAGGACTCCCGGCGAGCGAACATCGGTGGAGGGCGGTGGCGGGGGGGCGAGGAGGGCGGCGGCGAGGGCCTGGGGGTGAAGAGGGCGCCGGGGGGGGCCGAGGCGGAGAAGAGAGGGGAGAGGATGGACACGGCGGGCGGAGGGCGGGAGGGTAAAGAGGGAGGGAAGAGTGACCACGAAAAAACACATCCCCAATCCCAAAATCGCAGATTCACCGAGGATTCGGAGATCGGCCAAAGATTTCGGGGTATGTTTTGCGTTCGTCGTCGTCGCCCTGGTAAAACCCTACCCCAAAATCTCCCTCCCCGAAGTCTCGAGGAGCCTGCATTTTGTCTTGGCCCTCGCGTTTTTGGGATTGGGCATCTGTTTTGACTTAGTGAAAGAGGGAGGGCGAGCAGGATCGAGGCGGAACATAGGATGAAGTCGGGCCTGTCCCCCTGCAGGGGATTTTCTGCAAAAAATCAGAAAAATACCCCAACAAATAATAAAAAAATAGTCCAAACATAGTCTGGGGACTATTTTTTGAGTAGTTGTTTGACCTTTTTGGGGCATGTTTGGGGTATTTGTTATTTTTCGTCGAACATCCCCCTGTAGGGGAACACGCCCGACATAAACATATGACATGGGAGGCCTTGAGGGGATGGGCGCATGCGCAGCGGGGGGCAAATGGAGGCCGCCCAGAAAATCACGCCGCACCGCCCATGCTGGTCCCATCACGGGACCATGACGGCCCCATCACAGGACCAGGCAAGGGTCCGTGAGGACCCGAATCCGGGACCACAGAGCCGGGCCGCAGCGCCAGTGTATCGGCCTCGGCCCCATCTCCTCCTCCTCCTCCTCCTCCTCCTCCTCCGCCTCCGCCTCCGCCTCCGCCTCCTCCTCCTCCTCCTCCTCCTCCTCCTCCTCCATTCCTGTTCCTTAGAAAAAACTTCTCTCCCTGTCGCACCCCGAGGCTAGTTTTTAGGGCGGACGAGCAAAACAATTGGAAGACTTTCACGAATTGAGGCGGCTCCTTTTCAAAATGTGGCTCTCGCATTCGCGCGGCGCACGTTCGTTTTTCACATTTGCAAGAGTTTCATGGATTGAGGGCGGGTCGTTTTCAAAGTGTGGCTCTCGCCAAAACGCGGCGCACATTCGTTTGAAACAGTTCCAAGAGTTTCACGGAATCCCACCATCAACGTACCAGAAGTGGAATTTTGAAAGGATTCAGGATTACACGAGCGCAACAGTTACGTCGATTCGCTGTGTTGAAATCCCAAGAACGGCGTTCTGGCACGTTTCTGGATCGTCAACACGCAACAGTCAGGTTGATCAGTGACTTTGGAATCCCGAGAACAATAGTTTAGCATGCTGCAGGGTACTCAAACGGTTCTCTCCCAACGAAGCAGTTCCCTCAATGGAAATGAACCGTGGCAGAGGTCTATGCAGAGGGAGCTTGGAGGGACGGTTTATTTCAGCATCGTTGATGCATCTTGGGTTCACACTGGGCCTCATCCTCCTCCTGCTGCTCCTCCTGCTCCTCTTCCTCCTTCTCCTCCTCCTCCTCCTCCTGCTGCTCCTCCTCCTCCTCCTCCTCCTCCATCCTCCTACTCCCTCCCTCCTCCCTCCTCCTCCTCCTCCTCCTCCTCCTCCTCCTCGTCCTCCTTCGTTCGAGGGAGGGAAGGGGGGGCATCGCCGACCCTCCGAGAGCGCGCGTGGCAGGTGTGCGCCGCGCGGGCGCCCGGATGGCTGCGGCGCGCGCCGCGGCGCGGAGGCGCCGCGGCGCGGAGGCGCGGAGGTGCCGAAGGGGGTGCCCGCGCAGCCCTGGGGGGCCGCTCGCAGGCGGCGCAGAGGGCCTTTGGTTAACGGGCGAAGAACGGTATAAAATAAACTTCTTCGCCGTCGGGGACACCTGCCCCTGGGCGGCTGGAAAGTTTATACCCTTACGGTGGCACCGTAGGGGTATAAACTTTCCAGCCGCCCAGGGGCAGGTGTCCCCGACGGCGAAAAAGTTTAGTTTATACCGTTCTTCGCTCGCTGATTTGGGTGGCGCCTTTGGGGGCATGTCCTCCTGCAGGCAAATCTTGGAGGACAAATCTTTTAAAAATGCCCCCAGAGGCTCGAACATGGCAACAAGCATGAGACACCGCCCTCTGGCGATGTCTTCTACTATTTCCATGTGTTCCTCCTGTGCAAGGACGCGCCCGACTCAACGCTGGCAAACGGACTCAGCATCGGGCTTGGATCCGCGACGCCTGCTTACGCCATCAGCGGCAGGCTGGCGCGGCCCTACGAGGCAAGGCCAGGAGCGCGCAGGCGGCGCAGGGCGCTGTTTGGTGGCCCGTTTGTGTCGCGGCGATGGCCACGGCGCGACGCGTGCGGGCCCAGGCCGATCGGCTGGTAAGGATTCGACTCGTGCGTGCTGATGGGGTGGGTGTCGGCGGCCACCGCAGAATTCGTGGAAGAGGTGTGGAGCTTGTGCCCCAGAACCGCGACGCCCGCACATTCACGTCAATACCAGCGGCGGGTCGCGCGCCACCGCGCGCGCTATTGCGCTCGCATTTCCGCTCCTCCGACGGGGGCCCAGGCGGACATCGTGTCCTTTCTTCCACCCACAAGCTGTTCTGGAGGAATCGTGAGAATATGAAGTACTTTTGAGAAGAAGAAGAAGAAGGCGAATAATAATAATAATAATGATAAGAATAATAAGAATAATAGGAATGACACACGGCATAAACATGAACTGTTGGCACTCCCCGCGGGTTTCTTGGCTCTGCGCCAGGCCCCCCCTCCCTTGGCGCGCGGGGCGCGCCAAGGGGCGGCGCCCCTGCCGCCGGGGGGGACTCAAGCGCGGATCCAAGACATCCGCGCGGATCGCCAGGAGCTTACGTGTATGTTTATGTTTATGTTTGTGCCATGCTCCTGTCCAGGCTCATGCTTGCAGGGCAGTTTTTAGTACATAGGATGTTTGAAACCATATGATCTTCAATCATGATTCACTCATGGGCGAATTGCTACACGCTCTGAAACTATAAGATTTAATGCATGATTAATGCAGGGACAAATTGGTGCATGAACTCGTCGTTGTTTTTAACACTAAGTCCCTGCATGTTTAATACATGATCCGCACGCGGAGCATGTATTAAAAAACGGCAATGTATGTTCATGCCGTGCTCATCGGGTATGGACAGACCCCCCTTTAGTAAAACGTGGTTTAGTGAAAACGACCTGAGGCCAAAACCTGGCGGG